CTTCTTCTTCTTCTTCTTCTTCTTCTTCTTCTTCTTCTTCCTTCTCCTCCTCCCTGCAAAGTCCTCTCCCTTCTAGCACTGATGATGTTACCTAGTTGGGTAATGAAACGTCTGCAAGAAAACCACCAAGCTCAGAGAGCACCAAGGACCCCACAGTCCTGTTGTTGTTGTTGTTGTTGTTGTTGTTGTTGTTGTTGTTGTTGTTGTTGTTGTTGTTGTTGTTGTTGTTCTTCTTCTTCTTCTTCTTCTTCTTCTTCTTCTTCTTCTTCTTCTTCTTCTTCTTCTTCTTCTTCTTCTTCTCCTTCTCCTTCTCCTTCTCCTTCTCCTTCTCCTTCTCCTCCTTCCTCTCCCTGCAAACCCTTCTCCCTTCTAGCACTGATGATGTTACCAAGTTGGGTAATGAAATGTCTACAAGAAAACAACCAAGCTCAGAGAGCACCTAGGAGTCCACAGTCCTTTTCTTCTTCCTCCTCCTCCTCCTCTTCCTCCTCCTCGCAAACCCTTCTCCCTTCTAGCACTGCTGATGTTACCTAGTTGGGTAATGAAACGTCTTCCAGTAAACAACTCAGCTCACAGAGAACCAAGGACCCCACAGTTCAACCCTCTTCTCTTGACACCCATCCACAAGAGATGGCAGCCCAGCTTCTTCAAACTTTGCAAAGATGGAGAACCCACAACCCACAAATGTTCCGTTTTGTAGATCTTACCAGCAGGAAGTTTTGTTTTTTTCCCCCTTTATTTGCGATAGGATCACACCCTTTTCGCTCTTTCAGAGAGGACGATGCGATAGCCTGCTTCAATTATCCCAAGAGTGCGGTACGAAAGGTTAAGGCCTGCCCTTTTCCTTTTGCACCATGCAAAATACCAAAGAATAGACTGAAAAGCAAAGCTGGACTTTGAAAAAAAAAAACCTCCCTAAGAATAAGAACAGCTGGATGACCCAGAGAAGAGATAATAGGCTCTTATTTACTGGATGTATTGGAAACAGAAAGCGGACAATCATCTTCCGAGCTGTTTTAATTTGGATTTTTCCGCTGAGAAGAAGTTTGGACTTGGTAGCCTCCAGAATCCTTTCCAACCGTAAATTTTTAGGAAAACGGGATCGACAGCCAAATTCTGACCTATTCTTCAGCTTTGGGAGACAGATCAATTAGAATCAGGACGCCCAATGTTTTCATTCTCCAAGAACTGTGACAAAACAGCCAAGCTCCTGAATGATTAATAATGTGCTATCCACAAGAGATCTATTTATTTTGAAATGCCAGAAAAGAAAGCATCTAGTCCCTCTAGAGTTGGGGTAGGCAACCTTGGCTCTTTTAGGACTCGTGGACTTCAACTCCCAGAATTCCTGAGCCAGCATGGGGGAATTATGGTCCCTTCATGACTCGTGGACTTCAACTCCCAGAATTCCTGAGCCAGCATGGGGGAATTATGGTCCCTTCATGACTTGTGGACTTCAACTCCCAGAATTCCTGAGCCAGCATGGCTCAGCTTGGAAACCTCTCCCTTTCCCCTCAGCGTGGCTGGCTCAGGAATTCTGGGAGTTGAAATCCACGAGTCATAAAAGAGCCAAGGTTGCCTACCCCTGCTCTAAACTAATAAAGTCTACATTAATTAACATTAATTATGCTTTCATATGTTCCTCTAGGTCAGGGGTAGGCAACCTTGGCTCTTTTATGACTGGTGGACTTCAACTCCCAGAATTCCTGAGCCTGCATGGAAACCTCTCCCTTTCCCCTCAGCATGGCTGGCTCAGGAATTCTGGGAGTTGAAGTCCACGAGTCATAAAAGAGCCAAGGTTGCCTACCCCTGCTCTAGACCAATGTTAATATCTCAGGCGATGAGTAATGGGTTTTGACAACAAGGCTGTATTCAAATGGATTGAAAAATTCATAGTTTTCTCCTTTCCAATAAGATCTCGCTTCAAAGAGGATCCAATAATATTTGGAGTCAAAATAGAGGTGGAAGGGACTTCGGAGGTCTTCTAATCCAACCTTCTACTCAAGCAGGAGACCCTGTACCATTTCAGATAGGTGGCTGTCCAGTCTCTTCTTAAAAACCTCCAGTGATGGATCACCCACAACTTCTGGAGGCAAGCTGCTCCACTGGTTAATTGTCCTCACTGTTAGGAAGTTTCTCCTTAATTTTAGGTTGCTTCTCTCCTTGCTTAGTTTCCATCCATTGTTTCTTGTCTTGCCTTCTGGTGCTTTGGAAAATAGGTTGAATCTGCTCTTCTTTATGGCAGCCCCTCAGATATTGGAAGATGCTATCATGTCCCCCCTAGTCTAGACTAGCCATACCCAGTTCCTGTAACCATTCTTCATATGTTTTAATCTCTAGGCCTTTAATCATTTTAGTTGCTGTTCTCTGCACTTTTTTCCCAAAAGTCTCAACATCTTTTTTTGTAACATGGTGACCAAAACTGGATGCAGTATTACTAGGGTTTTATAAAGAATTTTGCAAGTCTCCCTGGTTTTCTAAAACCGTGATCTCAAAAAAAAAATTCTATGTATGGCCTAAGATGGGAATGAAAACGAAAGACTGGTTTAAAATTGATCAGATGTAATCTTGAGTTCTTAGGCTGGATCCTGATAGAATCCAGCATGCAAGATATGTCCTTTTTGTAAACCAATCTGATTTTTCTTTATTCTTTAGCATAAGAAGACCTAAGCCAGCAGAATTTAGCTGATGTATACAAATTTACAGTTCTCAGTTTTAGGTTGGGAAGACAACAGATCCAATCACAATTGCCGTTCCTAATTTTGCAGTTTGTAATTTATGAAATTGCTTTTAGTTTTTACTGAGATTAATAAATAGGATGGGTGTCTGAAGGCATAAAAATATGGGATTGTATACAGGTGGATCCACAGAGCCTCAAATGTTACCTTCACACCAGCAGAGGGCACTCTGGTCCACAGAAAAGTTTTTGTCAGCAAAAAAATAAATAAATAAAATCTTGAAAATTGAAGATGATTTGAAAATCTAATTAATCCCACAGTTCCAAAATGATTAAGTACATTGATATATATATATATATATATATATATATATATATATATATATATATATATATATATATATATATATATATATATATATATATATATATATATATATATATATATATATATCCCCCTTTCTTTCTTTCTCTCTCTCTGTATGTGTGTGTGTGTGTGCGTGTGTGCGATAGGTATTTCTATCTTTCTATCTATCTATCGCTTCTATCTACCGACCTACCTATCTCTATACATCTCTCTCTCTCTCTCTCTCTCTCTCTCTCTCTGTGTGTGTGTGTGTGTGTGTATGTGTGTGTGTGTATTTGTGTGTGTGTGTGATAGGTATTATCAAGGGAATAGCAACAACAATCACCATCACCTATCACTGGGAATCACTGAATTGAATAACAGAATAACAGAGTTGGAAGTAACCTTAGAGGTCATCTAGTCCAACCCCCTTCTCAGGCAGGAAACCCTATACCACTTCAGACAAATGGCTGTCCAGTCTCTTCTTAAAAACTTCCAGTGTTGGAGTACCCACAACTTCTGGAGGCAGGTTGTTCCACTTGGAAAGGTTTTTTTTTTATGTTGTTTCACCATTCTTGTTTGTCTATATAGCATCCTTTTAAGTTTCCTCTCTTAATCTTCTGTGTAATAGGCACACCACGGTGGCCTAGTTGTGTATTGTATCATACTCTTGCGTGCCATGTGGAATTGCAAGCGTGCAACCAAATNAAGAAAGAATGAAGAAGAAATAATAAGAATGAAAATGAAGAAGAAATAAGAATGAAGAATGAAGAATAAGAATAATGAAGAAATAATAAGAATGAAGAAGAAGAAGAAATAATAATAAGAAGAAGAATGAAGAAAGAAGGAATAATAATGAAGAACGAAGATTGAAGAAGGAGGAGAGGAGGAGGAGGAGGAGGAGGAGAAGAAGAAGAAGAAGAAGAAGAAGAAGAAGAAGAAGAAGAAGAAGAAGAAGAAGAAGAAGAAGAAGAAGAAGAATGAATGAATGAAGAAGAAATAATAAGAATGAAAATGAAGAAGAAATAAGAATGAAGAATGAAGAATAAGAATAATGAAGAAATAATAGAATGAAGAAGAAGAAATAAGAAGAAGAATAATGAAGAAAGAAGGAATAATAATGAAGAATGAAGATCGAAGGAGGAGAGGAGGAAGAGGAGGAGGAGGAGAAGAAGAAGAAGAAATAAGAATAAAGAATAATAAAGAGTGAAGAAGAAATAATAAGAATGAAGAATGAAGAAGAAATAATAAGAATAAAGAATGAAGAAAAAATAAGAATAAAGAATAAGAAATGAAGAAATAATAAGAATGAAGAAGAAATAAGAATAAGAATAATAAGAATGAAAAAAGAAGGAGAAGGAATAATAAGAAGGGAGGAAGGAAGGAAGGAAGGAAGGAAGGAAGGAGAAATACTGTGGCTAAATCTATGCTTCAGGACATTGGTGAAGGGCTCTCCCTAAAAGACCCCCACGGAAGCCCCTCTCCCCTTTGATCTCCTTTTAGGGGAACCACACAAGGGTCCTTGGGTTGCCCTAAACAGCCCCCTACCCATCCTCCTGGGCAGAGAGAGCAAAGCAGGTGGGGAAACGTGCTAAGCAAGGACTGAGCAACAATGTAACCAAGGAGATTGTCTCCAGAGCCAGATCGGCTCCCTACGACGTCCACGAACCCATGGCAGGCAAGGGTGATCTCCCGGTGGTCTCCTGTCCCCCTCCTTTTCCTTTCCTCCCCTCCCCTCGGTGGGCGGAGCAAGGCAAGACCGCCTCCTGGGCGTCAACCCTTCCCCCCCACCACCCCCACCCTCGCGGAGCTCCTCCTCCTCCCGAAGGGGCTGCTGTGATTCGTCGGGGGGGGGAGGTTTCCGCCCACCCCTTGACTCCGCCTCCCGGGGCGGAGCCTACAGCCAGACCCGGCAGTCGTGGCCTTCTCTCTCTCTCTTTCTTCTCTTTTCTTTCTTTCTTTTTTTTTTGCATCCGGATGGCGGAGGCGGCGGATCGCGCCCGGGCGGCGGCAGCCCAGTGGCTGCTCTGGGACAAGGTGAGAGCAGCTAGACGACCCCCGGGGCGCCCCAATTCCAGATTCCCCCCCCTTCCCGCGGAGCTGCAGACAGAGGAAGCCTGGGGGAGAGGGGGGGGCTCCTTCGTTTCCCAGTACAGTAGACTGGATCGCTCCCGGAAGGGGTGGGGGCTTTCCTGGTGGTCTCCCTTCCTTTGGCTAACGCGGCTCCCCTTTATTCCAAGGCTAGCAAGGGGGTGCATGGCTGGGATCTGTTGCAACCAGGCGCCCCCTTCCCCCCAAAAGGGAGGAAAAAATTAGGGGTTGGGGTGTCCCCAATCGCTCCCAGTGGGGGGGAGATTTCCTGGTGGTCTCCCTTCCTTTGGCTAACGCGGCTCCCCTTTATTCCAAGGCTAGCAAGGGGGTGCGCGGCTGGGATCTGTTGCAACCAGGCGCCCCGTCCCCCCAAAAAGGGAGGAAAAAAATAGGGGTTGGCGTGTCCCCAATCGCTCCCAGTGGGGGGGGAGATTTCCTGGTGGTCTCCTTTCCTTTGGCTAACGCGGCTCCCTTTATTCCAAGGCTAGCAAGGGGGTGCGCGGCTGGGATCTGTTGCAACCAGGTGCCCCCCCCAAAGGGAGGAAAAAAATAGGGGTTGGCGTGTCCCCAATCGCTCCCAGTGGGGGGGAGATTTCCTGGTGGTCTCCCTTCCTTTGGCTAACGCGGCTCCCTTTATTCCAAGGCTAGCAAGGGGGTGCGCGGCTGGGATCTGTTGCAACCAGGCGCCCCCCTCCCCCCCAAAAAGGGAGGAAAAAAATAGGGGTTGGGGTGTCCCCAATTGCTCCTGGTGGGGGGAGATTTCCTGGTGGTCTCCCTTCCTTTGGCTAACGCAGCTCCCTTTATTCCAAGGCTAGCAAAGGGGTACATGGGGGATCTGTTGCAACCAGGCGCCCCCCCAAACAAGAAAAAAAAGCAGAATTGGGGTACCACCCCCCCAACTCTCCTTTGAATGGCTTCGATGGGTTTGGAACCGGGTCCCGTTTCTGTTCCTGCAGAAGAAAAAAGGGGGATGCAACGGGCGCGGGACTGGTTTGGCTGGATTTCCCCGGCATTGATTTCCATCCTGACTCTTCCTGGTTTGATCCTGCTTGGGAAACTCCCCCGTTCCCGGGAGAAAAAGCAGAGTGGGCACGTTCGAGGCCAAAGCAGCTGGAGTCCTAAGCAAGGGCCTAAAGGGGAGCTGTGAGCATATGGGCAGTTCCAAGTAGGGTGGCTTTTGCAAAGTCAGGATATTCGGGTCTAATCAGTTCAGGATGTCCATGTATCTGCTAGGTGGCCCTTTGGGTCTGGCTCCAAGGGCTCCTTTTACTAGGGGTACAAGCCTTGATCTCTGCCCTCGTAGTCGCTCAGCTTCAGTTTGCAAATCAGGATATTTTGTTATTTTTCTCCTCTTCAATTCGTGCATCACCTGGTAGTGCCATTTCAATGAACCAGAAATCAGAGAGAGAGAGAGGGAGAGGGAGAGAGATGTATAGAGATAGATAGATAGATAGATAGATAGATAGATAGATAGATAGATAGATAGATAGATAGATAGATAGATAGATAGATAGATAGATAGATAGATGATATAGAGAAATAGAATGAGACAGACAGACAGACAGACAGACAGACAGACAGACAGATAGATAGATAGATAGATAGATAGATGTATAGAGATAGATAGATAGATAGATAGATAGATAGATAGATAGATAGATAGATAGATAGATAGATATAGAGAAATAAAATGAGATAGATAGATAGTTGTATAGAGATAGATAGATAGATAGATAGATAGATAGATAGATAGATAGATAGATAGATAGATAGATATAGAGAAATAAAATGAGATAGATAGATAGTTGTATAGAGATAGATAGATAGATGTATATAGATAGATGATATAGAGAAATAGAATGAGATACATAGATACATGTATAGAGATAGATGTATAGAGATAGATAAATGTATAGAGAGAGACATAGAGAAATAGAATGAGATAGATAGAGATGTGTATGTATATATATATAGAGAGAGAGAGAGACAGAGAAAGAGAGAGACAGAGAGAGATAGATTATATATATAGAGAGAGACAGAGACAGACAGACAGACATAGAAAGAGATAACTTTTATTGTCCATTTACTGTGGGCACACTGGCACACATCAAAAATTCTTTTGCCTGCTCTCAAAATTGTACACATACCTAACACATATAGACATGCTATATACATACATATGTATATACATTATTATGATGGATGGATAGGTAGGTAGGTAGATATATATTGTCATTCTTTACTGTAGGCACACTGGAACACATTAAAAAAATTTGCCTGCTCTCAAAAGTGTACATATACCTAACACATATAGGCATGCTATATACATACATATGCATATGTTGTTTTTATTATTATTTTGGCCGGAACCAGCCTGTCCTTCTTGCTTCGTTCCCATTGAATTCTCTGAGGTTTGTAATTTTTTTTGTCATTTTTTGTAGTGGCTTCACTGGCTCAGTTATCTGGCTCTTTATCCAAAGCTTTTTTATTCAGTATTTGTATAAAAGTAACTTCCAGGGGCAGGATGAAAATGGGGTGGGGGTGGGGGTTTGTGGGGGGGGGGGGG